GCCTACCACACTGACAAAGTAGACGAAGTGTTATCGAGAAAGCTTTTGTAATGCATTGAGTATAAGATAATTGTTAGAGGGAACAGAACTCACTTGTGTAGAAGCAGAAATACACCACACAAGACGAAAGTACCCATGACAAGAATCCAACCAAGGATTACCAACCTATCCATTGTTAATCACAATTTATTAATCAAAAGTAGAACCAACGTAAGACGGCACATAAGAATGAGACATCACTTACGTATATACAAGGCACTGCAGTCCAAAGATTGAGCATACTGTAGGAAATCACAATGAGAATAACGGGCAAGTTAAGTGCTGTGAGTTGTAGTCATTAAGAATTTGCTGATGCATATAACCAGACGACTTACCAAATCCAATAAATGCAAGGAAAAGCATCACAGCAGCAATGATGATGAGCGCAAGTCTCCTGCGACAAATAGAGACGACTTATAAGCAAAAGGATGAAAAACAGATGACAATATGGTAGCAGAATATTACATGTTGTCTAAGACATCTTGAATCCTGTCTTGGTTCTCCATTGTTTTGACAGAAAGAGTAGTAGCAGAGGAGTTGATTTTTCCCTGTATGTTGTCGATGCTCGAAAGAACATCTCCTGGCAGAACGATGGATTGCACATCGATCTTCTTAGCTGCGTTGAGATAATCTGACACATTCCTGAGGTTTTCTGACGTGAGATTTGCCTGACTCACCACATAGTCCAAAGTATCTGTTGTGCTAGCATGAAATTTACCTTGACCAGTGTAAAGGAAAACACACCCCACACTGGAATATCAAACACGAGATATTAGAAAAACAAGGAAGACAATAGAAAAGCAATTTAAAAAAAGGAGAGTACAATTTACATTGCTGCGAGTGTGAACAATACGAGGAGAATAAGGGATAGAGCATAAGCAGTCCTCGAATAGCCGTAAGGTCGACGGGCACAGCAGCAATAACAAAGGCAAATCAGAGACAAGGATAGCCCGAAGAACACAAACCAGACTCCTGCTATAACAAAGAAAGGCGCCGCTGTAAAAGCAACAGACTGCACCAAAAGCAAAGAATGAAAAAAGATTGTTTTAGTCACAAGTTTCAAGCATCATCATTCATCCATACAGGGCTAATAATGAATGGTAATCCAAAATTTTCCTTGGTTAAGCGTAATTACACCTTAAAACAAGCAAACTCTACTTAGCAACAGCTTTGATTGTAAAGATCAAGACTTTAATCGAACACTAGGAATCTAAGAAGAACCCAAGTCAAAGGAACAAAACCCAACACAGAAGGAGAGACATAGCAGCCGACAGACAGATATTTAGGAGATGTTGGACCACACACAAATAAATACTCACGGTCCAATAATTGGTGTTGCTTATGTTCCATCCACCAGTGTAGAGCTTGAAATTGTCATGAGGATCTTTTCTTCTGGTTCTCCTTTCAGCCAAAATCAGAGATGAGTTTTGTCCACTTTCCTCTACCATAACCCTTTCTTTTACACTTGTTCTCCATTCTTCTACACCTCCTCCTCCTTTTTCTGAAACAATCCAAACCAAAATTAATTTTCAATGAAGAAATAAAATATCTCTCTCTGTATGTCTTACCAACACTCGATGTTGCAGTGGCGACCAGAAGAAACGAAGAGAGAAAACCCACAAGTATAAAAACTCTTTTAGATCTGGAACACAACATTCTGTCTGG